AACAGCCTGTGCAAGAACTCTGAGGTATGAGATATGGCATGTCATGTATGAAAATAAGGAGACCAGTTTGGCTGAAACACAGAGGGTGTGTGTAAGGGAGGAATAATGTGTCACTCTGGACAGACAGGTTGGAGGAGGGCTGTGAATAGCTTTTAGGGCCAAAGGAGTTTGTATTTTACAGATTAGACTAGATAATCTGTAAGGTCCCTTCTAGGCTGAAATTCTATGGTTTTGCTTTGCCATCTCCTCCCTCTGCACGTGGCTAGACCTCTCCCTTGTGTGCCTTGCAGGTTCCCAGTCGTCCTCATGATGCTTTCAGCCCTGAGTGCCACCATCATCCTGGCCACTTGTGTGTCCTATGGAGCAATGGAACTAGGTGGGGAGGAGTACAACTTGAAGAGGGCAGAGCAGATCAATGACATCCAGAAAAAAGTCAGTGACCTGTGGCATAGGCTCATCTATGTGAAACCGGTCACCTCAGGCAGTGACGAAAACACTGTCTATGCCAACTGCCAGGTAAAGCCTTCTTCTACTTTGGAGGCCAATAAACCTCAAGTGACGGGGCAGGTCCTATTTAAACAGCTCTACCCAGATGGGAAGATGGAAGTCTTCTTTGATCTGGCTGGGTTTCCAACAAATACCAGGAATGCCTCTTGCCGGGCTATTCACATCCACAAGTTTGGCGACCTCAGCAATGGCTGCGATGGAACCTCCAGCCACTATAACCCGCATGAGGTACCCCACCCCCAGCACCCAGGGGATTTTGGGAACTTCCCCGTTAAGGATGGTAAGATCAGAAAGCACCGGTTCAACGTTTCAGCTTCTCTCTTCGGGCCCTACTCTGTCCTGGGCAGGGCCATTGTAGTTCATGAGCAAGAGGATGACCTTGGCAAAGGCGACAACAAGGGTAGCCTGGAGCACGGAAATGCGGGGAAGCGCCTCGCCTGCTGTGTCATTGGCATCAGTGGGCCAGAGCTCTGGAACAAGAAGGCCTTGGACGATGCAGCACGGAAAAAGAGGAGGCTGCAAAGTGGGGGTAAGACTGCCTGAAGCAAGGATTTCTGCAGGCCCTTGGTCCACATCCTGGTCAAGTTAATCATCTCTGGCAAACTTCCCCAGTTGCTTAGAATGCTGCCATGAGGCTCGGTCTTCAGCTGCACTTGGGTGTCATGCAATAAAGGAGCTTCAATACAATATTGCAACATAGTTTGAGGTTTGTTTTTTGCTTTTTTAAAGTCACCCCTTATCACCACTTTCATTGGGAGACGGTGAAGATCCTTACCAGATGCTCAGGAAGATGGTGTTCCAAACAAAATTTCTCCTCCCCCAAGCAGTCCACCCTAATTTTCAGACACTTGAGTGGATTTACCATATCTTGTCATGGCACAGTTAAGAGCCGCCACTTGAAACTGCAATGAGAGTAGGTGAGGGGAATAAGATAGAAGGGTGATGCCCACAGAGATGCCATGGGGAATGGGCATGGATGGTGGTGACTGTTCAGTTGTGTCCAATTCTTCCTGATCCCATTTGGGGTTTTCTTGGCAAAGATACTGGAGTGATTGGCCATTTTCTTCTCCAGCTCATTTTACAGATGAGGAAACTGAGGGAAACAGCGTTAAGTGACTTGCCCAGGGTCATACCACCACTGGTAAGTGTCAAAAGCCAGATTTGAACTTAAGATGAGTCTACCCAACTCCAGACCCAGCCAGTGCTCTATGCACAAGGCTGCCACCTAGCAGACCTGAGGCAGAGGACTTGGGTTCAAATCCTGACAGCCACATGATGTGTGGCCTTGGACAAAATTCTCAGTCTCAAATAAGGGGGTCAGAGAGTAGGTTGCCTCAGAGAAAATGCCAGACTTGAGCTCAAATTCCAGCTCTGCCACTTGTTACCTTGGGCAAGTCTTTTATCTCCCTAGGCCTATTTTTTTTTCTCATTTGTAAAATGAGGGGGTTGGATAAGATGACTTGTAAGATCTCTTCCAGTTCTAAATCCTATTTCCACGGGCCACGAGATGGTGCTGTAGATAGTTCACTGGCCCTTGAGTGAGGAAGACTCATCTTCGTGGTTCAAATTTGGCCTCAGGCACTTACTAGCTGTGTGACCCTGGGCAAGTCACTTTACCCCATTGCCTCAAAAATAAATGAACAAGCAAACAAACAAATCCTACTTCCTGGGCCACAGAGCCTCCTCCAGTTGATCAGTTGTCCCCTCTGGTCTCTGTGCAGCAGAGTGTGTTATCAGGCCGTTTTCACAGATGGGTAAGCAGAGGCACAGTGAGGTGAGCTAGCGGCATTAGTTCAGAGTCACATGGAAGGCTACCGAGTAGGTGGGACAAGAAGGCTCTGTGCAATGCCCAAAAAATAAAGAAAGGGGAATCAGAGACAAGAGATGACATAGGTTATTATTCACAAGACAGCGTTGCCTCTCAAGTTATGCTGCAATTAAGTACAAATGTAAGAAACCTGAGAGCAGAGGGTACACTGATTTGGACCCCAGCTTCATTGCTGGGTTGCTTCCCTGTCGCAAGTTAGATTATATATGCAGAAGAGCTGTCACCTTGCCAGTATCCTTCGACTCTAATAAACAGAAATACTGATAATGACTATTTACCTCAGGCAAGGCCCATTTCTTGGGCTGTCCCTCACTGCTTGGTTTCAGGCTGCTCCAATTCCTACAGACTTGGGAGCTGTGAGTCAAACTGAACTCCAGCCAGCACCCAGTCCTCGGTGGTTATTTTTACCTCTGACTTGAACTTGTTATTTTTAAATGGTTCATTGAACCCAAACGGCAGTGGGAGAGGAAGGATCTTTGCCATGAAATTAATTTCCTTCCATCAGACAGCTCTCACTGGCTTGAACTGGAACTGGAAGTGGACCTGCCTCCATGCTATGGACCAAGTTAGCACTCAGAGAAAAACTAGATGCTTTTCAGTGTGGGGATGTCAAGGATGGTATGACTGGTCCCCATCCTCACAACGCTCATAGAAAGCAAAGCAAGGAAAATGCCAAACTTACTCATTCCTTCCTTCCCTTTTCCTGAATTATCACTCAGCTTTATGTCTTCAAGAAGATTTTCAGTCTCAGAGGTGATGACAATGGTGAGGATGATGGCTAGTGTTCATAGAGAACTTTAAGGTTTACAAAATATTATCTCATTTTGCCCTGACATTATTCTGGGAGGTTGGTGCTACTCTTGTTTATGTTTTACAGGCAAGGAAACTGAGGCCAAGAGGAGTTGTGACTCACCAAGGGTCACAGTGACTCAGGCTAGTATTTGAACTTGGATTTTCCTGTCCCCAGGCCCAGTGCTCTAGCCAATACAACATTTAGCTACCTCTGGAGGTCTAGTAATCCTGACTTCCAGGGCAACCTGGAGGTGGTTGTGCAGAGGAAGGGGGAAAGAGGAAGGGGTAAGCATTTATGTGGCACCTTACTACATGCCAGGCACCATGCTAAGTGCTTACTACAAATATTATCTCATTTGATCCTCACAAAGCAACCCTGCAAGGTAGGATTATTATCCTCATTTTAAATTGAGGAAACTGAGGGAAACCGAGGTTTAATGACTTGCCCAGGGTCACACAGCTAGTAAGTGTCTGAGGTTGGACTTGAACTTGGGTCTTCGTGTCATCGGCCAAACATTCTTATCCACAGTACCACCTTGCTGCTACTTAAAGTGAGACAATCTGCCCCAGTTGGGTATAACTGTGTCAGAAGATGGTATAGCCTCTGTCCCAGAGATTCTGGTTTCAGCTCCTGTGGAGCCACTGAAGGATCCTGACCTCCTATGTCCCAAGGAAGGAGCAGAGATAAAATGTAGTGGGGCAAAGCACACTGGGGGTATAGGGGGTGCACAATACCTCACAGGGATAGTGGAGAACAAAGCATGGGGAAATTGGGGAACTTGTGTACCTTGCAGATTTGGGTGTGGTGGGACCCCAAATCCTGCTGCCCTACCCTAGTTATGGCTTTGTTTAGCTCACAGACTTTTTCTAAGGATGGGAAGGGGAAGGGTTGGGGAAAAGGCTGCTTCTTTTATCTCCCTTTTCCATTGTTCCCAACTTTTTTTAAAACTAACTGGGACTTCTAGATAAAGAAGAGACACCCTAAGTATGTACCCATTTCAGCTTTCTCCTTGGATGTAGGACATGTTACATAGCTGCTACCTTTCCAATAGGAGCGGTAGTGGTGGTGGGGGGGGGGGGTGTGTGTGTGTATGTGTGTGTACATATATATACACGTATATATATATGCATGGGGGTGGGGGGATGTGGGCAAGCAGCTGGGCTATGCTACTGAAAATGTCTGTGCACCACTAAGCCTGCCCATTAGATCCCATTTGGCCTTGGGAAGCTGTTTTTTTTTTCTTCCTCTCTTCTCTCAGATCCATTTTGTTCATCTAAGGATATTAGCCATTTTGGCTTTGCAGCCAGCTTGCTAATCAGTTTGCCTATTTGACTCATAGGGTTTGCATTTGTCACTGGGACTTAAACACACACTTGTTTTGATTTCTTTTTTGTAAAATTAGAAGCATTTGATGTAATGACTCTACCTAGACACAGCTGGTAAAGTGAGAATAATGTTTAAGTTTGCACGGTTTAAACACAATGTAGACAATAATTAGAAAAGCTATCTTTAGATGCTTAGAATAAGCTTTTCTCTCAATTGCAGTGAATTTTTCCTAGTGTGGCTTTTCAGTGCATATATACAGAAGTGCCTATATGCAGAAGAAAATAGAGAAAATCAGCTAGTGTTTTGGTCAACTTGAAAGGGGAAAAAAGACTTCAGGAAATAAACCATCTGATTTTAGATCTGAAGCATTTTGACTGAATGCATAAAATCTTTACATTCTCCATATTTTTCATGCCTACCATATGATCAAATAATTTTAGGTGACAGATTGCAACTGATAAATTGCTACAATATGCTGGAAGTAATGCTCAGTCTGTGGTGAGGGTGGAGAAGGAGAATGATGCACATAATAAAGACAATTAATCATCTATACCAGGAAAATTACCCCATTTTTATTCCAGGTAACAAAAAATATAGTTATGATGCATGGTGATTAGAGAATCCAATAAAGCAAAGTCTGCAAATAAATAGAACTTCTTTCTTTAAATAAAACAAAACAGTAGCCAGTTTAAAAAAAAGCCAATCATTTTAAATTTAATAGGTTATCATTGGTCTCTGCTAAGATACTAAAATATATCCCTGCATTCATATAGACTACAGAAAGTCAAACTTTTCAGTATTCTGCAAACTGCCCTGTGCATCAAAAAACCCTCATTTAGGAAAGAAGTGATAAGAAAATTAAGGCAGCCCATCTAAATCTATCATTTTAAATTGCCTTCATGCTGTACTAAGATTTTTTCTTTTGTCTGTTTTTTTTTTTTTGGATCAGCTGTAACATTGAGAGAAGGGACCTTCTCATTTTTTTTACTTCTCTCTCATTTCTAATTAGATTCACCACTGGTCTCCCAAACCTCTCTCTGGTCTTTGGAATTGTCTTTGTCCAGTGATTCTTTGCTTTATAACTTGGTAATAGGAATGAAAAGCACATGGAAATTTGCATGTACCTAAAACTGTTGTGAATTTGGGGATCATCAAAATGTTGTCTCTGCCTTAAGCTGGATGTTGAGTTTTCTAACTGGAACTGTCTCATATTCAAGAGTGGAAAAGAGGGTATGAAAAGCTGACTAGGCAGGGCCCAGAATCTCTGGAGGGGAGGTCTGGGTCCCACCCTCCCAACAGTAATACAAAGTAGAGCAATAAAATGCCAAACTTATCCAGTCATTCCTTTCCCTTTTCCTGACTTACCAATTCAGCATTAAGTCTTCAAGATTTTTAGTCCCAGAGGTGATGATGATGACAACGATGATGATAATGATGGCTAGCATTCATAGGGCACTTTAAGGTTCACAAAATATAAGAGACATCAGAGAAAGAGACAGCAAGTCAAAATCCCAGCAAGGAGAAGAATAAAGCTTGTTGGAGAGCCCCATTCAGTTCAGATTTGCATTTGTCACTGGGACTTAAACACACACTTGTTTTGATTTCTTTTTTGTAAAATTAGAAGTATTTGACATAATGACTCTACCTAGACACAGCTGGTAAAGTGAGATTTGGATTGGCTTTGGATTGGTATGGGGAAGAAAAAGACTATCTCCCCAAAATGCATACACACACAGCCATCATCCCTGCTTCCTTAAGGATACTTGAAATTCTTTGAATAAGGGACAAAAGCTTTCCCCTCCACTTTTAGGGAACACTGTGTGTTATATTCATACTAAAGTGTAAATGATTGCTATCAGATTTTTTTTCCCCAAGGACTTTGGAAAGTGGGGTGTTCATTGGACACCTGAAGTGCAGGGCAGAGTAGAAAAACAAATGTCATTCCTTCACAATCTTGCCTGAGGCTAACTCTGGGAAAAGGCATCTAATACTACTTGCCTGGGACTGAGCTGAATGCCACTGGGTGCCTCCTGGCTAGAGAAAGCCTCAGGGAATACTTGCTAGAGGCAGGGAAGAATTTGGTGGGGAAGGAAGGATGGCATGGGAATGGGTCTCAGGGGGTGAGAAAAGCTCCCCCCCCTTTTAAAGGAAAGGATCTATTTTCTCAGGCCTTAATTAAAGAACCACAAACTCTCATATATACTTGCATGTAGAAATCAGTGCCTAAAGGCTGCCAGGTGCCCGGCAATTACAGCAGAGGAGAAGCTTTTATTATGAGAAGAATCAGTTTCAGTTGCATCCCTTCATGCGTGCCCTGTTCTGCATTCTGCCTGGACAGAACTGGAAAGACAGGAAGAAATCCACACATGGCCGGGGCATTGTGTCTCACAAAAGTGGGCACATCAGAATGCAACTGGGTGGTAAGACCAAGCAGTGACATTTTTCTTAAAACACAAAACGTCAATAGCCAGGAAAACTCTCAATATTTTGGCTTTTCTGCCAAAAGTAATACATAGGGTGAATCCAATAGAGCAGTGTGGCATGGTTTTAGAACAAGGTTTAAAAGAGGAAAAAAAAGCCCAAGTGTAGGCAAGTTTGAACCTTTCTTTTTACTGTCTAGGAACAAGAAAACCAAATTGGGGATAGGTAAGGAAGACAGATACATAATATTGTCATGGCAACACACCCAATGGCAGCATGGCCCCAGTGCCGTCAAGGTCAATGTAACACACAGCATCCTTCCCATTCACAGCCTGTTCACCATTGGAGGCTTCTCATACTTGGGATTCCTCTCAGCTGACTGTAGCGCAATATGTTGGAGTAGATTATAAACTCTGTTTTCCAGGAGTTTATAAATGGACTGTAAAGATGTGCACCTGGCAGACTGTGTGTCAAAACTGGAGCTTGGGCTAGGAGAGACTTTTTATTATTATTTTATTAAATTTGGCTCTGCTTTCCTTCAGTGCCTTTAAAGTGCTACTTGGGAGAGCTGAACATTTGCAGGCAGTTAAGGCCGGGTCCAGCAGGAAAATTACCTCTGTGGCTGCTGGCCCATGCAGGCTTTGCAGCTGCAGAGGCAAATTCCCTCCCCAGGAAGTTGTGTGGATGGGGGCCCAGTGGGGTGAGGCAGAGGGCCTGTGTGTGTGTGTGTGTGTATGGGATAGCTCTCCTCTCTAGCAGCAGTATTACCTAATCACTGGCTCTGCAGGGGTTAGTAACCCCTGGGGCTAGCAGGATTGAAGGCAGGTAGTCACTGAGCACACTCTTATTGCATCTCTTTCCACTCTCACGCTCTGACTGGGCTGATGTCTTCTTACTGACCAATTAGCATTCCTCCCAAAAAAACCAACCAACCCAACCTCTCATGGGTAAGTAAAAAAGCCTGAGGCTTAACCCTAACTCTAGTGTCACTGGCCATAAATGTGGGGAAGGGAGGAATAAATAATAAATGACCATTTCTATAGTGCTTTAAGGTTGGTATGCCACATATCTCCCAATAATTCTGTGCATTAGGCTGTGTAAGTATTACCATGACTTGCTTATGTTGCATACCTAGGAAGTGGACCTGGGACCTGAAGTCAGTCCTCTTCATTACTCTGCAAAAGCAGAGACAGGAAGACAAGCTGGCCGCCACATCCACACATCTATGGATTTCATGGCCGACATCATAAACTTCATCTGCACATTCTCTTTTTAGGATGGTCAGGAGGAAGATAAAAACATAAGCATTGAGGGAGCCTCTCTTATTCATCCAAGCCTCTGAAGAGGTTTCTCAGGGGACTGACTCTGGCTTTCAGATGAACTTTCAGCTCCGGTGGGGGGGAATGAACTGACTCTGGGACGTGAGGAATTCCATTGTTTGAATATGTGGCCTGCTTCCTATACACTACAGCATAAGCAGATGCTATCTTTTCTCACCCAGGGTTACCTAGAGGGAATAAACTTTACCCTGGAGGTGCCTCTTCTCTTCCCAGGGTTCAAGTTTTACAGCCGTGTAAGCAGCTAACTGGGTCCTAAGTAGAATCCTAGGACCACAGATTTAGAGCTAGAAGTGGCTTTAGAGGACACGGTACTTGTCTGCCCTGCCATTTTACAGATAAGGAAAAGTCAAGTGATTTGTCCCAGGATCACACAGCTTTGCTCTTGTCTTTTCTCAACCACGCAGATGAGCCAAAAAGGGTGAGAATATACCTCAGATGGAGAAGTTTGAAAGGTGAGAATCATTTTTTTCCCTGGCTCTACCTTTGACTTTACCTCCCTGCATTGTGACATTCATGCTTCCCTCTTGGGACTAAAAATGCACTAACCGTTGCCTAAGTTGGCATACTTATCATTTACCCAACAACATAAGCACCCAAAAGAGAGGTATGAATTCAGAATAGGAAAACAAGCCGTCTAAGCCTGCCGAAGCCCCTCTCCACCCACCATTCCCAGCTGTGACACATTGCTACAGGCGCCATGCCAAGAGCATCCTTGTGGAGGAGACCCAACAAGGCCTTGACATGACAAAGTGTCACGGTGGGCCCTTTGGACCCATTATGCTCAATTATGTCTCTCTTCCCAACAGCCTTAATCATTACAAATACCAGGGACCTGATTAAAAAGCCCATCAGTTTCAAGCTCTTCCCATAATTTTGATCGACAACATTAAACGTTAATAGAAAAACATCTTATCTCTAATAAAACAAATGCCGACACAAAGACGGATGGGAAAAACCAGCCATATGGTGCACACTATTTTCAGTGCCTGCCCGTGTTCACAGCAGTACATCTTCAGTAGTAAGAGATGACGGTAAGAAGATTGAGGACCTGCATTTAATAAATCAAGCTGTACTGTCATCAAAATACCTACAGTTTGCAACAGGATCAGAAGATTTTCCGAGTTCCAGACTTGGGAGTATTTGAGGAGAGAGTTAATTCTAATGTGTTGTTCTGTGGCTTAATTCTTGTCATCCCTAGTGCCTTCCATGTGTTACAATTTCCAATCCCTTTATCCTTCATGTCTTCACGATGCCTGAGCAGCTCCCCTCTGGGACACCTTTCTCCTCTTCCAGGTCACAGCCTTCGGTGGCTTGTTCCTTCCTCAAACCCAAGGACTCACTGGAACCAAAGGGATCAGGACTAGACAAAGGAGACTCTAGCTTGGACGTCCCTCTGATCTGGGACAGGCCTGTCCCTTTCCTTGGGACCTCTTGGGAACTCCCTTTTCTGGTCCCTTCCAGTTCTTCAGCTGCCTGTTCCTCTGTCAGCTTAATTATTTCACTTCTAAGCCTGTTTATTTCTTCTTCCTCAGAAGGTAACTGGGGTAATGAGGGATGAAAGTGCCTGTGCTGGTTGCTGTACTTGGGCTTGGCTGGGGAATTGTCAGAGAGCTGGGCTGCAGCCTCCTCAGGAGCTGTCAATGCCACAGTGACAGAAGAACTTTCATCTCTTTGCTTCTGCTCCCCTGAAAACAGAAGTAGGACAGCATCAAACCGCTGGAAGAAAATAAAATTTTATTTCCCCACACATACACTTTTAGATTTGTCTCTATTGTGTGATTTTTTAAAAAAAATCTAGTGTCTTCTGTCATAGGACCTTTGAAAAGGGAAAACAGGAATGTGAGGGCATAGAAGGTAGGACATAGATGCTAAGGGGAAGATTGGCATTCAAGGGAGAAAAATGCTTCAGTGAGTAGAAATACTGAGTTATTAATAGAGGAAAGAAAGCATTTATGCATCTGCCCATAATCCTCCAGGCTTCCCACTCATCCCCATTAAACTTCTAAATTGAGGACAAAAGGGGCAGCTAGGTGGCAAAGTGGATAGAGCACCAGCCCAGGATTCAGGAGGACCTGAGTTCAAATCTGGCCTCAGACACATAACACTTACTAGCTGTGTGACCCTGGGCAAGTCACTTAACCCCACTGCCTAGCCAAAAAAACAAAAAAAGGAAAAAAAAAAGAAAGAAATTGAGGACAAAGGTTTTGTGGAGTTTTGCCCCTAAACTAATGCCTAGGGCTAATTTCATCCCAATCTCAAACAGCTGAATTTAGCCTCCACCAAGAGCAATGGAGTCATGGAAAGGATCCTAGAAGGAACAGTGGTCAAGGAGACATGGATCTCCTTCAAGCTTGGCCTCTAGTTAGGGATATGAGAGATGATGGACAAGTCTTTTCCCCTCTCTGGTTTCTGGTCTGAAAAATGAGAGCTCAACTACATCTCTAAATTCATAGGATCCTGAATTTGTTACTACTTGGGCAACTTTGGGCAGTTTCTCTCACTGCTCTGGGTTTCAGCTTCTTTGTCTGCGAAATGAAGCAATTACCAAGGTCCCTTCCAACTCATAATTGATTATCCTATTTTGAGCTGGATGGAGATCATCTAATCCAACACCCTTGTTTTGCCAATGAGGACCAGAGAAGCAACATGAATTCCCGTTATTTATGCATTAAATAGCTGAACCAAGATTTGAACCTATGTCTTGGTTATTCTGGCTATAAGTGCACATTACTTTTGTGCAGCAGTATAGTGTGGGAGCAAGAGAAACGGAGGATTTAGAGCACAAAACCTGGCTTGTAGTGCCCAGTTTGATAGTGACTTGTAAAGTGACCTAGTAAGGCAGAGAGACACTGGTCCTGGAAGGAGAGGACCTGGGTTTGAATCCTACCTCCCATGTATACTATCTGTGTGACCTTGGACTAGTCACTCAACCACTGTCAGCCTCAGTTTCCTCATTTGTAAAATGTAGGAATTGGAATCGATGGCCTCGGATGATCCTTCTAGCTCTAGATCTATGGTCCTGGGTATGATGGTTAGCATCCCTGGATCTCAGTTTCCATTTCTGTAAAATGAGGTAGATGGCCTCTTGTGTCCCTTCTAACTCTAAATCTGTGACTGCTATGATTCTAAATTCAGAACTTTTCCCATGACATCAAGCTATCCCCTTTCCTAGCTCTAAAATTCCATGATTTCCCAGCCCATTGGGACAGTCTCTCTCTTCTTGAATCTCTCATGCCATTATGTCTCATCACTCCTATATCTGTAATCATTTTCTATTACAACTACCCATATGTATGTATATATATATATATATGTATATGTATATGTCTAATATTCTCTCCTACTTACCCCAGAAGCCTTCCCCAAGCCCCTGTGCTGTCCCACCCCCACCCTCCCATTGAAAAAAAGGCTTCCCACTAGACAGAAAACTCCTTGAGGTCAGGAGCCATATTATTTTTTCTTCTTGGTAAACCTTGATGTAATAAATATTTTTTAAATGGACTATGGCAAACACATACACACACACACACACACACACACACACACACACACACAAACTAGAAATGCAGCATATGAATCTAATAGATTATCATTGCTCCATAAGAAATGATAGGGATAAGGATTGGATGGAGAGAGGAATGGTGCTTTCTTGAAACAGATAATTCTCAAGTAAGGAAATTCCTTCTACCCATGTAGGCTATCAGAAGCAAGACATGAATTCAATACGTGTTCAGCATGTGTTAAAAGTAGCACCCAAACCCAGCTTTTCCTGACTCTGAGGCATTCTGTAGCCACTATGCCATGGCTGATAATGACCATGACAAAATCACAGAAATATTGAAAGAGTTGCATGAACTGATACAGAGCAAAGAAAGCAAAGTAAGGAGAATGACATGCAATAATATAAGTGAAACTATCACTAAAAACATGAAAATTATGATTAAATATGATGACCAATCTTGGTTCAAGAAGGCCAATGATGAAACATGCTTCTTCCTTCATGTAAACAATGGTGGATTACAGGTGTGAAATATTGCCCAAAGCAGTCAGATGTCATTGCTGTGCTAGTTGATTATACTTAATTGTTTTCGTTTGTTTTAACAAGAGGTTATTGAGATGTGACTGAGTTGCAAAACAAATAAACAAAAATTCCAGAACACATTAATGAAACATTTAAACAATAAAAAATTGCATTACACTGAAATTACTTTTCTTAGCTGGGCCTGGCATTTAACAGGAGATCCTCAGTTTTCTTCAGAGCTGATTTTTGTTTTTAATCCTGAGGCCAAACAATAACAAGGCATTAGAATGAACTAAGGAAGCCCTGTAGGTGCCTTGTGACTAACCAATGTGTTTATATGAATCAAAATGGGGTCCTCCAATGGTGAGAACCTCTATCCAGACTCTAATCTCACATCTTTGCCTAAGTGACTTTGGGCAAGTCTCTTTCCCTCTCTCAGAGACTCATCACTTTCATCTATAAAATGAGAGAGAAGGACTAGATAATCCTCTAACACCCCTTCCAGGTCTAAATCTATGACTGAATGGCTAGATAACCTCTGAGGTTAATTCTCAGTAATGGAGAGCATACAGAACTTAGAGTCAGGAAGACTTGGGTTCAAACCCTGCCTCAAACTTGCTTTGCGATCACGGAAAAGTCATTTAACTTCCCTGGGCCTCAGTTGTCTTGTCTGTAAAATGAGGATAATTGCAATACAGTCACAAGGTTGTTGGGAGAGTTCCTTACAAGGAGAGACCACTTCTTTCTTTGCACTTTCATCCCCAGTGTCTGGCACTGAGTGGACACTTAACAAATGCTTGTTGATTGGAGATAAATGTAAAGTTCTTGACAACCCTACATTAATATTAGCTTCTATTGGCATATGATCCTCCAATTCTAAGTGCTCTTCTAGACTGACAATCACCATGAACTCTACAGTATTAGCACGATTATTGCATAGATGGAGAAATGTTACACTCAAATTGATTCCCATCCACCACAAAACAAGAATAAATGGTAAAATACTGACATAATATGGTTAGATATTATCCCTTCAGAGAGGATTCTGTTTTTATCTCCACTAATGCTAAAAAGAGATTCAAGGTAGCATGATACAGTCCTGGGTTTGGAGTCAAAGGACATGGGTTCAAATTGGACAATGAGACTTACTCCCTGTGCTATGGATGCTGGTGAAGTCACTTTGATTTCCTGAGCCCCAAGTTTGCTATTCCATAAAATGAAGGAAATGAACTAGCCATCTCCAGAGGACAGTATATATAGAGGACTGTATGAGTTCATGTTGCACTCTAAAGTGCAATTTTCCTAGAGCACTTTGCCTGGACCTTTCTTTTGCCCCATCACATTCTATCTTGTATCATGTTTGTATCTGGGTGATAACCCACCCTCTACCACACCTTCCCAGGAAAGCAAGGACTAAGTCACTCTTTTCATTTGTGTATCCTTAATGCCTTGCACTTTGTAGGCACTTCACAGATATTTGTTGAACTGAGTTGAAAAGACAGGGTTCAACCTGGGAGTGAATTTAAACTTACTTATGGGTAGAAGGCTTTTTATTCATAATGGGAAGCTTTTTCTGAAGAATGAGGCCATGAATTCTCCTCCTACTGTAAAGATTATCCCTTACACTCTTCCTCTTTTGTAATTCAGGGCTTCATACTGACTTAGGACCATCCGTCCAAGGAAAATCCAAGTGTCTTCCACAGAATTCCTGGCAATGCTGCTGCTGCATAAGGAGTTGAGCCCTAACTTGTACAAAAATCCACCTATGGCAGGGGAGGGGTGGGATCATGTGCCAATGCAGCTTGAATGTAAGTTCACCCTTAAAACAGGATCTCCTTGAAAGGAAGATAGATGTGTGTGCATGTGCACATGAGTATATGCATGTGTGTGTGTCTACAGGAAAAGGACATTGATTACAAGCCATATTAAGATTTTATATGTGTCAGATTTGGGGGGAAATGGGGACCTCTACTTAGTTGTTGTTGTTGTTTTTCTCTGAAAAACAACAACAAAAATCTCTCAAAGACACTGCAGAGAACCAAAGAAAATAGTGACTTTGGGGAAAAGTGAGAGAGTTTGGGTACCATTTGGGCAGCCTCATTTGCAGGGAGTAAATGATGGTACTTTCTGAGGTTAAACTTTTCACTAACGTGAGGTGAATAAACTCCTCCTGGAAATTACTTTTCTGAAATTACTTCTTCTAGGACACTTAATGGTATATCCCAGTGCCCTGGAAAAATTAATTAACCTTACAAGTTAAAGCCTAACCCCTAAACCGTTTACAATGTGTTTTTACTGTGTGTCAGATTAATCTTCTCTTCTTAATTTACATCTGAGTCAGGGTGGTCTAAATTACACTTAGGCCCTTTGGTCCCTGCCGTTCTCCTGGTGCCATCTTTCCAGACTTGCTTTCCTCTGTTTCGAGTTGGATGCATCTCCTTAAAATGGCAAGACCTTGAGATCACCACATGGAGCAATTTTTCTTTCTGGGAAGTGCCACAGCCCTAAGATGAGGTCAAAAGAAAGTCGTTCTTGGGGAATGAGCACCCAGCCCAACCCCATCTTTGGGCCCCAGTGAAGATTCAACCTATTGTGATCAAAAGCCAGCCTTCCACATTACCCCTGCATGGCCCAAGTAGAGGATTCTTAAAATTTCATGATCCCAGTGATGTCCTCAGAACAAGGGACCAGTCCTGGGCAGGAATGACACAGCAGCAGCAGGGAGGTATGCATAAAGGCAATTTGGGACCCTTTCTTTTGTCAACGTAGAAATCCCCAAAATGTATTTTCAAGTCCTTAATCTGGGGTAAGACAAAAAGAAAGGCACTAGAAATTTTACAGTGACTGAGATACAGTAAAGCAGCTTGGCTTATTTGTGAAGAGTAATAAAACTGTCCACTAATTCAGTAACTTTGGAAGCTTGGTCCTTCTTAAGCTTTGGAATTTTCTTTCTTTCTTTTTTGTTTAAAAAAAGCACAAATTGTTGCTGCTTCCACGGCAGAGAATTTCTAAGCTGGCCAACAATGGAAAAACACATTATCATTAATAATAGTAATTATGCTGTGCATTATTAGCAATAATGCAGGAAATTACAATCATTAATAATCATTAATAATAATACACATAATACTAATACAACTAATGACGATACAATCAAGTGCTATCAGGAAAGTAGATCATAGAAACTGAAAAGGAGAAAGGAGACTCATACTCTGACAACCTCAGAGGCAGAAGCACTCAGCCTGCTAGGATATGGATTGCCCATTCTTTCCAGTGACCAGAGAGGGACGGTTATCCTCTTTTGTTTACTGGTCTTTGTTGGACTTTGTCCCACAAAATGGGCAAGATTTGCTTCTGGTTTCATTTAATCACACACACAAGTGCCACTGAAGCTGACAGAACAGTGTGCTTGTTACCATGACCAGCCACAATGGATGGGTTCTGGAACAATGAGGGCTAATGATGGAGCTTTAGAAGCTCTCATTTAGAATCAGATGATTACTTAAGCCTCCCTTGTGAAAATAATGCCAGGCACTCAGCTTTTACATTTCAGCTTCCGAGGCCCCATATCCGAGCCTCTGACTAGGGCAGAGAGTAGAAAGAGAGAAGGGGCAGCTCTTGACAGGGATGATAGATGCTACTTTACAAAGACATCCATCCATCAATCAATAAGCTCTTATTAAGCACCTACTAAGCTGCAGGCACTCCAGTCTAGCATTGAGGACAAGACAAAAGAATGATAAAAGACAATAAGATGAAGTATCTCTGCTCTGAAGGAACTCAGAGTGTATCAGAAGCGACAACATGTATTCATTTAAAATATTTACGGGATAAATATATACACAAAAATATAAAACAAATAGAAGGTATTTAGGAAGGGAAAGGTACTAGCAGTTGATTCTTGATTTGTGTCTTGAAAAAATGAGGAAATCTATGAGACAAATGCAAAGTGGGGGACTGTGTTCTAGACATAGAGACAGCCCATACAAAAGCATGGAGATGGGATGTGGGGGCTGTGTGAGGGACACAGAAAGCCAGCTCAGCTTTTGCTTTTCCAGGTGCCCAGGGACTCTCCTCTGATGACTACACCAGAGGTATGGAACCTGCGGCCTCAAGGCCACATGTGGCCTTCTAGGTCCTCAAGTGCAGTCTTTTGACTGAGTCTAAGTTTTATAGAACAAATAATTTTATTAAGGGGATTTGTTCTGTGAAGTTTCAGTTCAGTCAAAGGGCTGCACTTGAGGACTCAAAGCTGCAGGTTCTCCACCCCTGGACCGCACAGTTGGTCAGGCTAATCTTTCAAATCATAGGCCACAAGGGGGAAAGGGAGGTGGCAGAGAGGACAATGAGAGCCCAGGTGAAGACTGAAATTCCCTGGTCTGTAATTAGCTAACCTTTCTCCTATATTCTCAGCCACACAGACATTCATAGACTTAGGGCTAAAAGAGACCTTCAAGGCCAACTGGTCCAAGCCCCTCATTTTACAGATAAGAAAACTAAGAACCATGGCTATTAAATGACTTGCCAAACATCCTGCTTTCCATGCTCTTCCTCCTGATGTTCAGGTCACACAGTCACAAGGTCTCACGGTCACACACATACACACATACACACACACACACACACACCCAAAATCTTACAAAGCCACATTGAATAACATTTTTAAAAAAACTAAGTGCAAGAGCATGGACTAATTCATTCCTGTAATGATCAAGTATATCATACCTTTATGTCTCAATCTTGTGCCTCACAAACTTAATGCTTTTGGAACAATTAACCAGGTCTAAAAATAGGAGGCTAAGTGAGGATCCTGAGCACTTTCCTCTCTGTTCAAGATACTTGATTCAATTCAATAAGTATTTATTGAGGGCCTACTCTGCTTTCACTACATCTACTGTGGTGGGTATTCTGGGAGATACAAAGGGGAAAGATCCAGTCCCCACCCTTGAAGACCTTCCAGTTCATTTATTCATTCACTCATCTGCCTGTCCACCCATCCACCTATCCAATATTTATTGCATAATAAGTACTATGTGATGGCAGTATGGTGTAGTAGTGAGAGGCTTGGACCTAGAATCAGGCCAACAAGGTTTGAGTCTTGGCTCTCACACTAGTTGTGAGATTACGGAAAAATAATTTGACCTCTCTGATATCAGTTTCCTCATCTGTAAAATAAGAATAATATTTGTCTTTTCAACCTTACACAGTTATTGTGTTATTGTTATTATTATTGCTGCCACCATAAACAAACAGCTATCCTACAAGGATCAGAAGACCAAAGCCATATACGTAAAATGCTATAGGAATTTAGGAAGGTGATCATTTCTAATGAAGGTAAACAAGGAAGACTTTGAGGAGGAGGTAATATTTGGACTGAAGGCATTCAGAGAAGGGAAGATTTCATCAAGAGGAGATGAGGCAGGCATTTCTGCTGATGGAAATTATGTCATTAGTTTAAACAGGAAGGTTAGAAGTAATAAGATGTGGTCAATTAGATTAGGGCTTTGTAATAAGGAAGTAACACTGAGAATGGTGGGGTGGTACCACTGGCAAAAAGAAGAAAGTCCAAGGGAATATTTGGATCCAGGGGAGAGATATGGAAATGGAAATTTAAGAGGCTAAGTCTAATGGGCCAAGTGGGATACCCAGATAGAGATGTACAAAAGACAAGAAATGAAGGGCTAAAGTTGGGAGAGAGATCTGAGATAGAAATACAGACTTAGAAGTATCCACATCAAGGAGAAAAAAAAAGGTAGGTTGTAGGAGCAAATGGGATCTCTGAGAAAGAAAACTAAACAGAGAGCTGAGAAGAGAATTTGGGGGCACCATTTAAGGGAGAAAGGACCCAGCAGAAGAGACAGAAGGATCAGTCAAAGATGTAAGAAGAGAACGAGACCAGGGAAGTGCTGTGTACCTCCCACCCCTGGCTATAATCCTCTTGGTTCCCAATAATTTACATATGTGAAGCCTTTAGGTTTCATAAGACAATAAGTGAACCAAGATAAGTGGTACAATCCATGAGTTACAAGAGGAGTTCAGAGAAGGTAGAGATCAGTGTGTACTTACCATCCTTAGTATATGTTTTGTTTTCTGAGTCTCGCTGATCTATGAATTTCAACAACGGGGATCTTGACCTCTGTATGACTGGAAGAGTGGAATCATTGAAAGTTATGGTGTCCTTTCCTCCTATTATGAAAAAGGATAAAAGCAAATAATAGACATTGACAAAGCTGATTTGGCACTTAAAACTACATGATCAACTGGCTATTTGGACTGAATGATTTATTTTTCATTTAGGACTTAAAGATGGAAGTCCAAGAGAAGTACAACAAGAACACAAGCCTGCCAGCCATAAATGTCTACCTCATCATGGAGTTCTATGAAAAGGCAGTCATGGAATGAGCAGTGGGTTTTAATTAAGGCAGAAGAGTCCTGAGACTGAATCTTGGCTCCAGCACTGACTAGATGGGATAATCTGGGAAAGTCATTTAATCCCTCTGAACTTCCCTGCAAAATGAAAATGATCATATTTGCCCTACCTATATCCCAGGGTTCCACAGACTAATGAGATAGGTATGAAAGCTTGTAAAAAGGTAAATGGAGGGGCAGTTAGGTGGCACAGTGGATAGAGCACCAGCCCTAGAGTCAGGAGGACCTGAGTTCAAATCTGGCCTCAGACACTTGACACTTACTAGTTGTGTGACCCTGGGCAAGTCACTTAACCCCATTGCTGACCCTCCCTCCCAAAAAAAGTAAATGGAAAGAATATTACTGGATTTAGAGTCAGTGGACCTAGGCTCAAATCCAGGCTCTGCCACTTATCAGGTCACTTGATTTCTTTGGGCCTCAGTTTCCTTATGCATAAAATGAATAATAATAATAACAAAAATAACTGCTATTTACATAGTGCTTCAAGATTTGCAAAGTGCTTTACAATACACTGCCTCATTTGAGCCTCAGAACAACCCAACTTCTTGGAACCTGTGACCTCTACTCTTCATCAGTCATTGACTATTATTGTTATGGCTGACAATCTTCCACCTCATTTCTTTACCTATTCCTGTATTAATTGACTGCAGTCCCTGTGAATCAAACTACTATCTTCATCTCCCATTCTTTCATTTCCATCCTTCTCATCTACCCTACCTCATCTCTATCCCACCTTTCCCACTGTGCCCTCTGGAACTCCTGTTCCATAGTGAACAAACTTCCATACATCGTAAAGCTCTTTCCCTCACACTCCTTCCATCTAGTAGCCCTCACTGAGACCTGGGTGCATAAAAAGTCCCAGCTGCATATAGGTGGGGCCTCTCAGATTTTTGGGGTACCTGAGATCACACGAGTTGTCATATTCTGATGACTTACTGAGCAGATGAATTTCAAGATGGAGATGAGGGGACATGTCTGGAGAACCTAAGTGATTTCATAACTTGTTGCATAGTCTTGCTATGTTAGGGCAAAGCAAACCTCCTCTGTTAAATGTTCAGTGACTGTCAAGCATTTCATCTCATTCGAACATTGAACCTGAACTAAGAGGGTGCTGGCATTAGTGTCATGCTTATAACACTCAGCTTCTTCAATCCCATGACCTAGTCCTTCATTCTACCTCAGCCACTCATGTGAGTGGTCCCACCCTGGAGCTTACCATTATCCACATGTATTCCACTTCCTCAATTAGAAAGTATAACATTCTTCTCTTAGAGGTTACCATCTCTTCTTAAAATTCCATCTCGCACTCCTCCTAAATCCTTTTCTTTCATCGAGACTTCCAATCCCTTCACCCCTCAGTACTTTTTCAGGCCATTACTCCTGCTCTGACTTCATTTTCCCCCTCTCAATCTCAATATTATAGCTAGTAGAGGGCAGTTAGGTGGTGCAATGGATAAAGCACTGGCCCTGGATTCAGGATGACCTGAGTTCAAATCCGGCCTCAGACACGTAACACTTACTAGTGTGTGACCCTGGGCAAGTCACTTAACCCCACTGCCTAACCACCCCCCCCAAAAAAGATACTATGGCTAGAAATTTCAACTTTATAATATTCTCTGCCCTTGAATCCCCACCCCTACCTCACACCCTTGTCCTAATGCTGCTCATCTCTTGCCAAACCTCAGCCCTGAATTAGTCCATTCACCTCTACAGCTCCTATTCATGTGCTGCTGAAGCTAGAGAAAGTCACACAATCATGCTGATTAGGCACATTATAAATTCATGCTACCCAACTTCATCTGGGTCCTCACTGTAGCAAGGCAGTCCTTTTATTCCTACCTAATTTATTCCCTATCTTATTCCCTGCAGAAGCTATTCTCAAATTTCTCTTTCTGCATTAAGTGTCTCATGCTTCTCCCTTCCCTTTCCCTCTCTCTCGAGATCTTGCTTCTTACTTGAGAAAATTGAGCCTATTCAACTTAAGTTCCCTCTTCTCCCATTCTCATTATCCCATACCCTTTCGACATCATCCCCAACTCCTGCCTCCTTTTCCTAGTTTCTGACAATGAGGTGGCTCTTCTCTTTGACAAGACCAATTCAACTTATGCCCTGGATCCTATCCCCTCCCATATTTTTCAGCAGATTGCAACCTCAATCATCCCCCGTCTCTTTATCTTCAACCCATTCCTATCTAATGGCTCCTTCTCTATAGCCTTCAAATATACTCAAGTGTCCCCAGTTCTTAAAAATCCTTCAGTAGATTTGATCATCCACACAAGCTGTTGTTCTATATCTCCCTCCCCCATTTTCTGCAAAATCCTAGACAAAGGTGTTTACACTCACTGCCTTCACTTTGTCTCCCCTCATTCACTCCTCAACCCTTTACTATCTGGCTTCTGACCTCATCACTTAACTGAAATTGTTCTCTCCAAAACTACCAATAATTTCTTAATTGCTTAATCTGATGATCTTTTCTAAGTCCTTATCCTTCTCAACCTATCTGCTGCATTTGATCTTGTTTACCATCTTCTCCTCCAAGATATTGTCTCCTGGATAATTTTTTTTAAACTCTTTCTTCTCTCTCCTGGTTCTCCTCTTTCCTCCCTGACTATTTCTCCATCTCTTTTCCTGGTTCATCATACACATCACTTTCTCTAATTGTAGGTATAATCCAAGGTTTTCTCTCCTAGGCCCTCTCCTCTTATTTCTCTACATACATTCTCTCTCAATAACTTCATTAGCTCCCATGGGTTTAATTATCAGTTCAATGGAGAATGAATAAAGCATTTATTAAGTGCTTACTGTGTGCAAAGCACTGTACTAAGCCTTCGGGGTACAAATAGAGAAGTAAGTCTCAAGGACTTCACATTTTAATGGGAATGGTAGCACATCTGCTAGATTTCAGCTGCAAAGTTATATGGGAAAGTCTCACAGTTTTAGTGTGTAATGGCAAAGCAAATATTAATGTTTCTTTCTTCCCACTGATAAAATCATATCAATTTCTGATGCTGAACAATTTGGTCGGTGCCAAAGACTTTGGTGACAAGACTCTTGGTCTTCAGTGGTTGTGACCATAGCACCCATAGGAGCAGTTGCCAGGCTTCATCTCCACATATCCACAAAAGTCTCACAGATTTATAAGCTTAGCCCTAGTCTCTTCCCTGAGTGTCAGCTCCAAATGAGCAACTGCTTGGTATCGGTACATTGGTGCACGTCAAACTAGAGATAGCTAGGTGGTATAATGGATAGAGTACTCAGCTTGGAGTCAGGATGATCTGAGTTCAAATCCAGCCTCAGACACTTAGTTGCATTACCCTGGGCAAGTCACTTAACCTCTATTTGCTTCAGTTCCTCATCTGTAAAATGAGGACACACTGGAGAAGGAAATGGCAAATAACTCTAGTATCTTTGCCAAGAAAACCTCATGGACAAGGTCCATGGGGTCACATAGAGTCAGGCATGACTGAACAACACAAAAACAGGTCAGACTAGGCGCATCAGCTACAACTCAAACTGAACATGTCCCAATTATCTTCCCCCTTCCTCCAACCTTACTTTTCCCCCAAACATCCCTGTTTTTGTTAAAGGAACCATCATTCTTCAGACCTCTCAGGTCTGTAACTTCAACATTATCCTCAATTCTTCATTCTCTTACCCCGATCAATTGCTAAATTCTGCCATTTCTACCTCTACAACACCTTTCAGATCTGATCCCTTCTATGTCAATGGCTACCACCCTCATCACCTCTTGCCAGATTATTACAACAACTTCCAAACTTGCCTCCCTACTTTATGTCTCTCCACAATCCAGTCCATCCTACACATTGCTTCTAAAGGGATTTCTCTTAAAAACAGAGCTGACCTTGTCACGTATATATTTAACCAACTCCAGTCGTTCCCTATGGCCTCTAGAATAAAACATAAATTCTTCCACTTAGTTTTTTAAATCCTTTACAATCTAGCCCCAGTCTATCTTTCCAGCCTCCTTGAATATTCCTTTCCTTCATTCATGCCAATCCATACAACCCAGCCTTCTCTCTGTTCCTCTCACATAACACTCCATGACATCTCCTATTTCTATACCTGGCACCATCCTTTTCCTGTGCCCTAAATTTAATTCCTCATCACCGTTACCTCCCTTCAATCACTTCTCTTCTCTCTTCCTTACAGAAGCAGCTCAAGTACCATCTTCTACATGAAGCCTTTCCTTGTCAAATCAACTACTAACATCCTCCTTCCCAAACTACCTTGTATTTAACTACTTTGAATTTATTATGTACATATTTACATATAAACTGGTTATGTCTCCCATTAGGATGCAAATTCCTTGTAAGCAGAAATTGTCTTTTTTTTTTCTTGTGTATGCCCAGAGCCTAGCACAGTCCTGGCACATAGCAGATGCTTAATAAATGATTGGTGTTTGATTGATTGCAAGTATTCCAATGATGATATCATCAAGATGGGTATTTCTTCCAATGATGCAGTTGCAACCTATCCATGCCTGCTGGCATTCTGGTGTGCCTCTTGTCTATGTGCTCCAATAAATTCACCAATCAGTATGTTGGGGGATTTCCTTGAATTCTCTTAACACTGAATGGCTACCAAAGGAACATGTGGACAGTCCATTGGTTGTTCCTCATTTTTGCTATGTGATTGGCCCATCATTTTTTTGTTTTGTTTTTTGTTTTTCTGGTAGACATTTTTCTGGTACCATCCTTTAGACTTGACGGGACTATTAATCTGATTATCTTTATTAT